CCCCGGCCTCGGGCCCCTCCGCCGCGGCGCCCGCTCTCCATGGTGGCCGCTCGCGGCGCCCCGGGCCTCAGCCGCGGCCTCGCTCTCCGCGGCAGCCCCGCGTTGCGGCGGCCCGGGCCCCTTCGTGGCAGCCCCTCACCGTGGCCTCAGGCCTCTCCCCCAGCCCCGCGCTCCATCGTGGCCCCTCACCGCGGCCTCGGGCCTCCGTGCCAGCCCAGCGCCAATCTTGTACCCCAGGCCCGCTCTGTCCAGCCTAAACCTCACATTTTTTTTTTTGTAAACAGCCCTTTTTAAACTTAAACCAGTGCCCCAGCTCTGCTAGTTGAGCTCCGGGAAGGGAGCCCGGCCAGCCTGGACCACCGCTCAGAGCCACTGTGGGCTTCACGAGCAGTCCCACGAGTGTCCAAAAACGGTGTTTTTCCCTTTCCTCCCTCCCCAGATGAAGTGATCCGCAAGCGGCTCCTCATCGACGGCGATGGTGCCGGGGACGACAGGAGGATCAACCTGCTGGTGAAGAGCTTCATTAAGTGGTGCAACTCTGGATCTCAGGAGGAAGGGTATTCCCGTTCGCAGTCTTCGGGAATTGCTGTTGATTTGCATTTAAATGGAAATTTAGATGAACTTACATTTATTTCGAAGGAAAAGAAAAAAGCCTCTTATGGTAAAACATATACCTCTGCTTTTTGGTATGGCTCTGTGGCATTTCCAGTGCAAACACTGCACCGTGGTAGTAAATGAGGACCTGAAATGGTTCAGAAGTTACTGAATAAGCTGTATCCTGCAATCTAGCAGTGCTGCAAATGCCCTCGAATTGGCACACCACTTACTGATCCAGGTCCAAGAGTCCCGTTATTCTAACAGGATCGTGACTTGGATGTTTTCGTTGGCAGTTCTGCATTTGTTCTGCTGGAGAAGGACAATGGTATTGGTCTTGCTGCAATTGCTTTATTTTTGTAAAGAGACCAAAGTTGTAAAAATGACCAATGATGTGGTATTTCATTGTGGGGATCTCTACAGTGGTTGGATATAAATTCCAGGAAGATACTTCTATATGCAGAGAAGTGGTAGAGTATTAAAGTAATAACCTAGGTGGACATAGAGGCTGTCCAAGTTGGGAAGTTTATAAAGCAACAAGCAAATTGATCCAGGGATTAATATTAACTTTGCACCTTTAAGGACATGATGATAGAATTTGTTTGCACATTGTTTCTAACTGTGCTTTCAAAAAGTATGTGTTGAATCTTTGGAATGCTTTATTTCTTTAATAATTACTGTTATTTAACTATTGTTTGAATTACTCATGTAGACTGTGTAAAAAGGTAGGTGAGTATTTTATGCTGCTTAGGAATAACTGTCTTGTCTTTTTTCAGTTACAGCCAGTACCAACGAATGCTGAGTACTTTATCACAGTGTGAATTTTCAATGGGAAAAACGCTTCTCGTGTATGATATGAACCTGAGAGAAATGGAGAATTATGAAAAAATCTACAAAGATATAGGTAAAGAGGAAACATATTACTATTGGACTATTATTTGAGTATGAGGAAGCTTGAGCCAGGGTTGGTCAGCCTAATGTATGCATGCATATGACAAATGATTTTATTTTAATATATAGCACTGATACAAAAGCTCTAAAGCATCTTGTCAGTGTCTAAAACACATCCAAATAAAGTTTTCCTTTTTTAAGTACTGAGTGTGTGCTATTTTGAGGATGCTGGAGCTATGAAGCCACCATGTTACAACTGGCTCTTTATCTTTTTATAGTGTAGCAACTGATTTGTTGACATGTATTTGATTTTGATACAATTCTGTATATCTTTTTGTTAAAGAGAATAGTATAGCTGCAGCGCACGAGAAGATTTCCGAATGCAAAAAGCAAATCTTGCAAGCAAAAAGGATTCGAAAAAATCGCCAAGGTAAGGAGAAAAATCTGTGTTTTCACATTGAGACTGACCATCTACTTTAAAATCAAAATATTATACTGTTATAAATTACATACTTCTTTGTTTACATTCCTCTTTATTTACATACAAGTTTGAAAACATTGAACAGTTTTTCCAGCAGTAATTAAGAATTGAAACTGATATATAATATGTGATTTTTGGTTTCAGAGTCTATAATATGTGATTTTTGGTTTCAGAGTCTATGTTCTCAGAATTATTTAGACTTAACAATATAAAAAAATATATAATTTTTTTCCTTTCAGAATACGATGCATTGGCCAAAGTCATACAGCATCATCCAGATAGGCATGAAACACTGAAGTAAGTATGAGATTGCATTAAATTATATCAGAAGTCAGAAGTCACCAGATTTGACTTTTCCCTAGTTTCCATTTGATTTTTTTTTTAAACACAAGGAAAAAAATGAGTGTCAGGTGTCATTTTAAAACTGTGTTATCAGCAATGTTTTAATTAATCTTCATTTGTTTGGGTTCAGAGTCATTGCTAATAACTTTGCATTTTAACGTATTTTATTAAGGTGAATGTGTGAAACTCGAACTTAAATGAATGTCTTTATCAATTTACCAGTGACAAGTCGGTTAAAAAAGAGAGCTAGTAGGGAAATGCTGTAAAGTACATGTTGAAGGATTCAGTAGTCATGGAAGATATACAACACAAGCAAGTAAAATGGAATGCCAGAAAAGAGAAGAAAGCTCTTAGGTTCATTGTATGTTTTTCCTCTTAGTAATTTATAACCCAGGAAGAACAACTATAAATTACTAGCTTGTATATCACAATCTAGCCTGCCCTGGAGTGCAGGTTAGACCTACCTGTGGTCCAACTCGTCCTACATGTAACTAACAGTATTGCGTGTTGGATTTGGATTGATATCTGTGCTTTTGGGTCATTTTGGACAGCTCAGGGTAGATAATATTTTTGAACCTAATCAAATCACAGAAATATTCCAGGACTTATTGCAGCTACATTTTTTTTTTTTTCCCTTAACCTGATTAAGATGTAGCTGGGATTCGTGTTCTCATTTAAATGCAGCTTGGGTCTGTTCTGTTGCTCCATGTCTGAAATTGTAGATGGAAGCTGTATTTTCATATTCTGTGGTCTTTTGTAGTCGTTACCACAACTTTGGTTATTACAGTTCTTGAGCAATTTGGAAACTTCTAACTTTTGCTAGTTAGTATGTGCTATTTATCAAATAAAAATTCATGATAAAGAGTTACCAGGAATGCCTGTTTTTTTCCAGATAAATCGATTGATTAAGATTAGAAACAAGTAAATAATAATGCACTTTTGAGAAGAGGCGAGGTAGTTTAGATTTCTTAGATTTTCTGTTTTAATTTTGCAAAACACTTCTAAGCATAAGTATCTTAATCAAAGCTAGAATTGGCAACATAAGATACCCAGTAAATTTGGCTTTTTGTCCTTCCATATACTTCATTTTCTCCCTTTCTTAGAAGAGTATGTTACAGTTAGAAACACCATATTAATGTGCTATAAGAATGTCTATTTTTTTTCTTTCATATCCTCAATCAGAGGAACAGATTAAATTTTAGCAGAATGTGATTCTCTTTTACAGGTAGAGAAACAGAATATAGGAACAGCGTAGAAAAAAAAATAAGAGGAGTTTAGTTCTTAAATAAGAAATTGTTAAATGACCTCTCCAAGTGAATATATTTTAAATATAGACACAGATGAAGTTTTCTTCCAAAACTTTTAATTACAAGCTGTCCCTGCTCTTCAGTTTGAGGAAAGTGTACAGAATGTAAGCTACTGTGAATCAAGAAAGACCACCCTTAGATTAGAATGAGAAGGCCTCAGGAACAGCATCACATTGTTCACGGAACTGTTAATCACCAAAAACACCAGAGAAGACTTCTCATCAGAAGAAATGTCACGGTTTATTGAAAGAATTACATTTATAGCTTTTGCAGGTTGTGTGGCACAAGAGGATAAAATTCAGAGAAATACTTCTTTTATGCTTCTAAGGGGCTGGTTCTTGGAACAACCAGTTCCGGAGCACAAAAGAAGGGAAACTCTTATCGACTTAGTCACACCTAAGGCACAAGAGCCAATTCAGAAGGATTCACTAAGCAGCAGAGCCCTCAATGTAATTAACTGCAGTATGAGAAGAGCAGTTAGAACACCGTGAAATGACACTGAATCTTAGAAAAAGGGATAGGAAAATGAGAAGGCAAGGCAAAGATTCTCTGGAGCTGAAAATAAAACTGCAGATGTAGCTTGGATGTTACTAGGAAAAAAATAACCACTAAAATGGAACTTTTTCACAACTATCCACACAGGGCTGGGACACTTTCTGCAGTTCCCTGCCCAGGCTGCAGAAGCTCTCAGTGCTTCCAAGCAAGCCCTTCATTCCCATGCTGACCCCTATGTGGCTCTGCCTGGTAATTAATCAGGGATAGCCAGTCTCAGTCTAGCTAACCTTTAAAGGAACAGATTGTTCTCATTACAGAGACTGTAATTTATAGTAGGCATTAGAGAAAAACTAGCAGGGCCCAGCTGGAGGTAGGAACACGTCTGTGCAGGAGCTGATGTTCTAGTCTCTTATGAAAGCTATGTGACAGTACCTATTACTTCTTGCCTTATTTCAAAAAGAATTGTGGTGGTCTGAGATGGGCCTGAGTAAGAGCAGAGAAAAAAATGGTTTTGAGGCAATATTAAACATTGTGTGCGCAGGCATTAGCTGTGTCTTGTGGTTTTATCTAAAACGTGGATTATTCCACATGTACCTGCTATAAAGTGGATGTGTCATCCACTACTGCTTCTGGTCTGGCCCTTTTTAGAAATAAGATAGTACTATGTATTTGATCAAGTCTGGCAGTTATGTTTGTGTGCTGGATATGTAGGTTTATCAGGTATGTTTTTTTTCATGCTAATGCTAGGTTTTTATATAATCAACTCTTATCAATATAGAAAAGCCTGTAAAAACGTGAAGCTTGTAGAACTGTGTTTAATGTGACTGCTTCTTTCATTTTTGTTGTATGAAAAAGTAAAGGATCTTGTGTATGTGCCAGGATTGAATTACTATGGGCCAAATGCCCACTATACAATTACATTCCAGCTTGTCAGCCTTGATTTCTATAAATCCTAATTTCTCAAAGTCCTGAAATGATAAATTTATGACATAATAGTTTAACCTTTAACCAGCTTTACATAAATGTTGTTTTCATTTATTATGCTTTATATAGATTTTCGCAGATGTTATTTATATTGTTTAATAGTTGTTTTTCCTCAATTTGGTTAAAATTTATTTTTCAGAAACTTCACAGAAATTTTAAAAATAATATGTCAATTTCTTTCAGGCAGCTAGAGGCTCTGGGGAAAGAACTTCAAAATCTTTCTCACATTAAAGAAAATGTTGAAGATAAGGTAGGTTTTCATAGATATTTTGTATAATTATTTAATAGGAACATAATTAATAAAGAATCTGCTATGACTTGTTTGGCTGTATGTGCACTGTGTTTCCTAAAATACATATTTGTGGTTGCAGTTGGAGCTGAGAAGAAAACAGTTCCATGTTCTTCTAAGCACCATCCATGAACTTCAGCAAACCCTGGAAAGTAAGTGGTGTTATGTATGAATAACATGTGTTCATGCTCTAGAAAATGGTCTGTGCTAGGAGAGTGGAAGCAAGGACGCCTTGAGCAGCAGGATAGCAACGTGCAGTAGGGCTGGGTGACCTCTCACATAGGCAGTGTTTTTTCCAGTAGCTGTCCAGAGCCTGAGTCTCCTCAGAGTTATCTGTAGCCAACAGATTTCTTTAAAATACAGAGATTAAAAATGACTGATTGAATGTCTTTTCTCTATTGCCCATTGAAATAAAAAAAAGGTAATCTTGCACATAGTTTCCAAGCTTATTTGTACGATCCCTGTTTCAGTACTATTGAACATGTCACTGCCATCATGGTACCGTTTGAGCTCGTACTAAAAAGAATTTGGAATGTAGAAAAGCTGAATGATTTACCTACTCCTACAGGAAGTCTGAAGTAGAGGAGGGACTAAAACTAAAGTTCTGTTCAGGAATTTAATCAGTAAACTCATCTTTTATCATACAAATACTTGATGCTTTCAAATCAGTGTCTACTTTTCGTGCTGTAGTAGAGATAATACTGCTTTAAACATTATTTGTTGGATATATGCCCTGTCTTCCAAAGACAGAATAGTTGGTATAGTCTATGTGCACAACCCAATTAACATACATAGACAGCTGTAAGAGCAGACTTTCATTCTCTAAGGCCCTTCACACCTTGCTAAGCAGAGTGAACTGTTAATCTCTAGGTGCACTTTAGCAGAAGCTTATTGTTATTAAGCATTAGCTAGTGTTACTAATACTTAAGGCTTCTGTAGAATGTGTAGTTGACTTTTATTTGGTTCGAATTTAGCATTTTTATAGTGAGATATTCAATTACAGACTTAAGACAATCAATGCTAAATATTTAACTGCGACCCAACTCAGTAGTATAGCTTGTAAATATAATCTTGCCGTGTTTGACTGACAGTAATGTTCAATTGTAGATGATGAAAAACTTTCAGAAGCTGAAGAATCTCAAGAAACCCAGATGGAAACAGAGACCAAGCAGTAGATGCACCTCACACTTAATACAGATTGTCCCAATGTCTTGTCTTTGTGTTGAAACCAGCAGTAAAAGAGCAAGTGCTGAAAAAAGAGAGTTTTCCACTGTTCCTGTGAATTTGACCAGCATAGGAATTCCAGTTAATATTTTTATACAAAAATACTTGTTTTGCTTGTACTCCAGAAAACATTTTCCAGTCTGTGTAGGTAGGTACTTTGTGCTAATCTACAAACTTTGTAATACAAGACGGGAAAGACAGTCTTGGCCCCTAAAAGGTGAATCTTCTGTTTGGTTCATGTAAACTGTTTGCAAACATTGTTAATAAAGGTCATTTACAGACACTTCCCTATCTTGAAGTGAGCATTGAACCTAACTAATAAGGACTCCTTTTCTTACCCGACGTTGCACTGATACCAACACTTCTTTCCCCGAGTTCCAACTTACATATCCTACTCCAATTGTGACCTTCCCAAGAGGCGAGTGTGCTCCAAGCTTTTGTAAGGAGGGGGGAAACCAAGGGCAGAGGTAGGTTGTGCCAGTACCTGTTAGGCATGTTCTCAAAACACCAGTTAAATCAGCCCTCCAGGGGTCTGGGTAAAAGAACATCACATTTCAGATCTCATTCAGGCTGAGTCATCAGCCTAAGCGGTTGAAGTAAAAATAATATTAAACGGAATGGAGCCTTGCTCTCAGACTAGATGGCAGCTGAGGGACATTTCCAGCATTGCAGTTTTGGACTAAATGCTGTAGAATTCCCACTCACAGTGGCTGTGGATCTGTGCGCATCAGGCTGGGTGAACATATCCTAGCTTGTTTTCCCTGCATTCCAGGTTTGCTAAAGGCAAGCTGGCTGAATTAGAAGCCATACAACTGCCGTAGCCCAGTGGAGCCCTGCACTAATAAGCTGTCAAAAATCAGAGGATGCTCAGGTTTGCCTGACAACCTGTGCAGACCTGGAGTCCTTGTGCACTTCGTGAGTTTTGCAGTTGGAGCTGGGAGGAAGCAGAGGGTGGCAATGAGCAAACAAAAAGGATTTCATATGAGAAATCACGCTGTCAAGAAGTATTTACTGCTCTGTTGTTAGGAAGGAGAAAAAACAGTGACTAGTAAAATACTTTGTAAAGCAGCAGAGCTAAATTATTGCTAAATCGGGGAGGAGTCACTTTCATGAATGTATGAATTATGAGGATTATAAATGACAGTCTCGAGACAGTTTCGAAGCTTATTAAGGCCCATTTTTTTGGTGTGGCAGAAAGGTCCTCTGCGTAGCTGCTTGGAGCCTTTCTTGCTACAGAGGTGGGGGAAATTGAGCAGATAAAACTGCCTCTCAAGAAAACAGCATGGGCAGAGACAGTTCCTGTTTTACATTTGTTATTTTATGTAGCTCTTGAGAAATTGCTTAGATGCCTGAAGTATCTTACCTAGGAATTTGTACTGCTCCATATAGAACCCGACCAGAAACATGCCCGTTTGTCTGTCCCTCCTGCCAGAAGTACATACATGAAATCAGAAAGCACACAGAAGAGCAGCAGTGCAAACGGGTGGCTAAGGAATATATTCTAGTTTGAGTTACACTGATGCAATCCTGAAAAGATTATTGCCCAAGAAAATCAGCTAGCCTTAGCATGATGTGGCAGTAGAAGGGTGGTGTCACCGTACTGCACTGGGAAGTAACCAGAAGAATATGACATCTATTCATTGCAAATGCTGCGTCAATGCGACGCTTGAAATCTTTGCTCCTGTTTTGTTTTCAGTATTTGCCTCTCTAATCTCTTGAGCATTCAACTTGAACTAGAAGAGAAACAACACACTGCTGTGGCTCAGATCTTTCCCAGAAGAAACCCTAATGATGGGCGAGATTTAACCTGCTCTGTTATCCAGGCACACGTTCCAGGCTCAGATCTGCCCTGTGTCTTCTCAAAAAAAGATGCTTGTACCTCCTTCATCCCAGCTGGAAACCTGTCCCGCTGAGATGTTGCTCCCCTCCACAACTAAAGGAACATGCACAAAAATCCATGCACCCGTAAACTGAGCTTCTCCACTATCATGTTATACAAATAAACCATCTTCTTAATGTTAGCATCTGCCTTGTGTGTCCTGAGCCTAAAGCCATTGCCTCGCAGATGTAAAATTTCAAGCAAAACATGAGGATGTTTTCTATGCTGGGGCTTGTTTTTCTGTCCTCTCCAAACGACGGAGAGGTGAAAGGAGAATGGAACATCTGGCGGAATTGGTAACTTGGGTGGAATCTTAGATACAGAGATTTACTGAGCTCCCCACAAGGAAAATGGAAGGGGAAAAAGAGGGTCACAGTGACACACTGCCAAGTGTTGGGATCTCTCTGAAGCCATGGTGATTTAAAGATTGCAGCTGCCAACAAAGAATGTTGGAAAATGTAACCCAAAGATTTGTGAGAGAGAAATCACTAATAACTTTAGATATTTGTGTTATAAGTTGGCCAGCTGTGACAACCATTAGCATCCTTTCCCCTTTTCCCAAAATGAACTAAAGATTCTTGCCTGGGTTTTTTTTCCCCATTCTGTCCATCTCAAATGCACTTTCTCACAGCAAAGACACAGCTCTCCCTAAACAAAGAGCAGCCAGAAAACAGGAGGAATCAGCCCAGGAGCGAGGCAGGGCAGCACGGAGGTGCCTCAGCAGTGCTGGTATCACACACCACCCGGTTTAAAGTCGCTTTTTGGCACGTTAGTGTCCAGGCTCTGCTCGGACACCCCAGACGTGTCCGTGCTCGGGCTCCAGGCCGCCTGTGCTGCGGGACACGAGCGGGGACGCGGTGGCGGCAGGTGGCAGCAGACGCCAGCCTTGCTGCGCCAGCCCGCTCCTGCTGCAACACTGCCCTGACGCTTAAAATCCACCTATTCCTCCCATTTCCCACCCAGCAACGCTGCACGCCCGGCAGTTTCTGCAATGTTTCGTTTCTTCATCTCCCTTGAGGGAGAACATACAGAACAAGGGCCGGTTTTGACTCAAAATATGACCAAATGAGGAGTTAACCTCCTTAGTGTTTATATTTCTATTAGTTCCCAACTTTGCAAATCCATTTTAAATCACAATCCCTCTTCGTGCTTTCACTTTTCCGTATTTTTTTCCTATTTTCCAATACAGTAAATAGCCAGAATACTTACTAGCCATCAGTGGGTACAGAATCACATCCCTCTGCCACATCTCTATACCAAAGTGCAGCCAGATGCGTTGCTTAAGGAGCTGTCTATAGGAGCTATAGCCTTGCAGGACTAACCCCAGATCCCATTCCTGCAACTACTACACGAGCTAACAGGAGGGGACACAGCTCCACGGGGAGAAGGAGCTAAAGGATGAGGCACCCTCAACATAGGATTCTCCGACATGGATGCAGCATCTCGGCTCAGGGAACAGCCCAGGCAAGGTCTGAGCTGGCAGGGTTATTGCCTTGGAAATGCTAAAGGAGAAGCAACAAGAAACCAAAAGGAAAAGCCAAGAGAATTATCCACAAGCCGACTGTCCCTCCCTTATCCCTGTTCTCCTGCTTTAGCCTCTGTGCACTGTAGCATCTACACGACACATCTCACCAGCGCGGCGGCACAGAAGCACCCCGGGAGACCAGCTTCATTAAATCCCTAAGTCAAGGTGCAGATCTCGGGTTTGTTCAGGCCACACTCAAAGCCCCCCACATATCAGTGCAGCCCCTTTAGAAAGCAAAACATTTGTGCAGCGGTGACTGATATTGTAGCAGTGCCTATAATTAAGAAACTTCTATAATTTTAATTATAAGCTAATATCTTCAGTGCCTGACCCAGCAGCCACATTAAAAACATTTTATCAGTTCCAGAGTTGGAGACCAGCAATTAAAGATTTAGGAACTTTTTCATGCTTCCTGCTTACTAAGATGTGCTACTTGCCTATTAAAAGCTTTGGGAAAATTGCAGTAAAGTCATTATGTCAATGTTAACTTTCGCTGATCCCTTCGAAATTCTGACCGTCCAGTTATAAACTGGTAAACAGGAGGAAAATTTGCTCTCATGTCAGTGATAAAGCTGCAACTGAGTTTTGCTGTTGAAAAATATATCATGAAAAGTTGCAAAACAGCCTGAAAAATCTGTCCTGCCATTTGCAGAAGGCCATTTTTGTGCATATGCCTTCCTGAACCTCAGATTATTAGCCAGGATTTTCCACAGAGGGAACACAGGCTCCTAAACACGTCAGGATACGTCACGGTACTAATAACCACGCAAATACCCCCACTTTAATCCCAATGCCACCTGGTAAATCCTGCTGCCCTGGGTGCTGTGCATGGGCTGCGCGCCCACGTGGGAGCGATTTGCGGGAGCCTGGACACGGCTCCACGTGCAGCCCCTGCATGGCTGCACACCCCGGACACGCCGCAGTTACAGCCACAGGCTCAAGCGACATCTTGCTATTAAAAAGTACTTTTGTTTCCTACTTAAACCTTACAAAGCAAAGCTTAGAGCCGCACATGCTCGTCACTAAAACTCACTCGTACCTAGAACTTTTGCCAAGAAGTATTTATTGCTGATGTCATCTTCCTTTTCAGTCTAGAAGGAAAGTATTTATTTTATCTTTAGCTAAAAGTGCGCAGGCTGGCTTTCTTTCTGTAAAAATAGTTCCAAACTGAGCATCATCTTTCATAAAGTCTCCCCTGAACAGGCTGCGTTTCCTTCTAAACCCACGTTGCCGCCCTGCAGCCGGGAGGGGGAGATCCTACCCCGGCTCACGCGCTGCCGTCTCGCAGGGTCCTGGGTTTGCTGGAAAGAGACCCACAGGCCTGAATGTGAAAGAGGAGCAATAAAGAAAAAGAAAAAAAAAATGTGAGGGGGGATCCCTGGGCTTTATTTGCATCGATTAGTTTTAATTGCTATTTTTACAAGCAGAAGTTAGTGTCAGGGAAGCACATTTCTGTCCACTGTCTCCCTGTACTTATTCTTCATGTTTCTTAAAAGGTATGAGAAAGCAACTCCTACATACAATTTATATATATCTGCATAGGTGCGTGTGAGATTTTTAACAGAAAAAGGAGGCCAGTTGCTAAAGGAAAGTACAATAGCACACATACGTGTATTCGTATGTATATATGCCTAGAAACACACATTTAAAAGTCCATATTCTTTGAAATCCTAACCAAGTGATCGGGGCAGAGATTAGGGTGACCCAGCAGACCAGCTGTTCAATCCTAAGAGGACCAGAGGTCTAAGAGGACCTTAGGTCATTTTGTGACCTAAGGCACACGAACAGGTTAACTGCAATCAGGTAAACTGCAGCGTTGCTGCTCTAGTATCTGCCTTCCCATCACTGT